CTGTAATATTCCATGTAGGATATTTTACATGCAATGAAACCACAATTGAACAGGTACTTTTACTACAAAACTCCAATGATATCTAAGAGTAAAAGTGCAGTGACGTCAAAGAGCCAGGTTGGTGAATTACAAGTGTCGCTGTTGCGCCATCATGAGGCGACAGGGGCACATTACACAGTACAAACCAAACATGGCGGAGTTGTTTTCCTGCTTTTCTCCTGAATCGCAGAACATCCTCACACACGCCTCTGCAGCTGCTCAACACGAGCTCAGTGCTGCTGTGTTACCTTCCCAGATGTAACAGCCTCTGGTTCTCTTCACGAACTTGAACCACAGCGTGTCTTTCACCGGCTCCTCCAGCTGCACGTTGCCGATCCACAGGCTCGGTTCATGCGGCGACAGGAGCCCGTGTGCGGGCTTCATGAGCACCGCTCTGCCCGGGTCCCACCGACCCATCTCCTCACGAGAGCCCAGGACCAAGAGCTGCACGTCCGCACTGTCCGGAGCAAGAATGACCCCGAATCTGAACAACATGGTCACGGGTGTTCAACACGGCACTGTTATTATAGCCCGTGTTAGATTATAGCGCGGTTAGAGTTCACAGAGTCGATAGTGTTTGGTGTCGTCTAAATATAACACACACACACACACACATACTCATTAGCATAATGCACTAGCCCCTTATTCTGACCACCATAACTAAATGCCAAACCCTTTACCTAACTCTAAAACCAAGTCTTAACTGCCAAACTGTCCATTAAAGGTGGGTCAGCAAGTGAAGACCAGCCAAAATCTCCTCACTCTGTAGGTTGTAGGCTCAAAATGGTGGACAAGAGAGATAATCGTACAGTAGCACACACGGACAAGTGTTGACATCATTCTCCTCACCACAACCTAAACCTAATTCTGTGGTGAGGAGAATGAAAGCAGGTTTTCACTTTCCCTGCCATGTCTTCACTCTACCCAAAGTGTCCTCACTTTCCCCAACATGTCTTCACTTTCCCCAACATGTCCCCACTTT